AGAGGATTAATACTTTTACAGAATCGAGATTGATCGAGCTTATTCAGGCTCACGAATACCTGTGGGATTTTAATTCTTCGTTTTATCGAAGATTTTATCTTTTCATGTATTTTCGCCAGCTCTATTAAAATAATCGCCTTTTTTCTTTTATTAATTCCAGAAAAGGAACTGCTTGCTATTTTAATAAGAAAAGTGGCTAAAATTCCGTAAATACTCTGAAGTAGAACGTAAAATATCGGCAAACTCACGAAAGTAGTCAAAAACAAGCTATTGTAATTTTATTGGTTTATTATAGGATCACGTGTTTCCGAGTTGCAACGTCAACGAACAATGTGTGACCACGAGAAGCCGCGTGCGACTCGCGCTTGTTGCAGTTGCAGTCGCCTGCGCGTCTAGAAATCGCATAGTGTGACCAGGGCTTTATGGTTCAACTAGGCACATAATGGGGGTGGCTGGCCAGTGAGGAACGGGACCCAACATATCTAGGACTGACTGCTCATAAAAAATTCCCAGGGTGTCACTCGTCCGGATTCCCTGGAGTGGTGGGCCAACGCCTTAACTAACTTGGCCATCTGGCCATCATATGTTTTGGGTTGAAGAGTACACCTTTGGATCTTCATTAACATTCATATTCATATGAACAGTATACAATGCATCCATAATTTTAAAAATAATTTGATTTGTGTGATTATAACTTGTTTGTAGCTTTTAGTTTTTAGCAAATTAATCAAATTTGATTCATATTCATTACACAAAGCAATTTTTAAATTTTACTTATTAATACAAATTTTAAAAAATAAAATTTATTTTTGTTAAAAAATGTCAACTAAGCAAGTGAAAATAGTTAATTTGTTTCTCTTTACAGATAGAATCTGCTGATAATGTTCTCATCTCACAAAGACCAATTGGAAATTTATTTTTTAACAAATTGTTTGTGTAATGAATATGAATCAAATCTTACTAGAATTAATACCAAATTAAAGAAATTAAAGTGGACTCGACAGGATTAAAGGACATGAACAGGATAAAATTTAAATCATAACAAAAATGTCTAATATATAAATAGCATAGAAAAATTCAGCAACATTTCATTACAAACTAATTATTATAAATAATTCTTGCTGCAAATGTATATTATATAGATTAAGAATCACAATATAAATAAATACTACCAAAGTTTTCTAAACTATGGTAGCTAAGAAATAAATTCTTTAATGGTGACAATATCTTTAACCAAAAAATTATGATTTAATCTCTAATAAAGGCATTGAAATTTGCATTTTGCTTAAGATCCCAAAGAGAAACACTCTTCTAAATCAATGTATCATAAAATTATTCTTACTTCACGTCCAGCCATGCAGTGAAAGAAATATTCTTGGGGTCTTATTCCGGTCAAAAATCTTCCATCCACAAAACCGCCGGCTCTCGGAGTGGTATCGTAAGGCAAGAAAGATGGTAATGATTTGCCGCTAATCATTAAAGGAACCCTTTTTCCTTCTAATTCAATCTGTCCCAACAGACAAGATATTTGCATAGCATTCACCTGAAAATTTAAAATAATTTGAATCATTAGAAAAAGACTAAAAAACAAAATAAAATACAGAATTATGTTATTTTAAATCTGTTTCAAACAATAAAAAATATTACAGGAAATATTCAAAAGAATATTTCCTGTTAAACCCTAACTTTACTGTAATATTTACTTTGTTTCAAAAGAAAAAAGAAAAATCTTATACTTAAAGCTATAATTCTAGTTATATATCCTATTATCCTAGTCATTAGTTTTGAAGCCAAAAATGTTAAGAAAACATACAGTAGCACTCGATACTTCCAATGACTAACTTCAAACACTAAGTTTGAGAAAAAAATTTGCTTCAGAGCAAACTGCATGCAGTGAAAACATGCACTCAAATTGTAAATGCGATCTGTTGTGAGCCCAAGTTGTCTCTCATTCTTACATTAGGCTCATATGCTTTTAGTACTTTTTTGCTTTATTTTTCCCATATTTGTCTATCTTGTACGTTATTTATCATTTTTAACAATTTCTTCCTGTAATTTTTCTTTGTCGATGGCATTTGAACAGCACTCACATTTCAAACGAAATTTCAAACGAAAGGATAAAAATCCTTTTGTTTGAAATTTCCTGAACAGAACTTTTAGATGACATTTGACACAACTGAAGTTTAGGAGCATTTTCTCCAAAGACATTTTTACTTGATTTTATTCAAATAAAATGGGAAGTAAAAAGTTTAAAATAAGCTTCAAAGAATAAAATCTCACATTAGCAATAATGTGTTAAATTTCACAACTGTTATAATTAAATAACACATCTATGTTAAGTAACAACAGCTGTTAAAAATACATAAAAACTTTCTGTTCAATCCAATAGTAAATTTCGGATTGTGCTGACCAATTTCCGGATTTGTGGTCCATCAGAAAGTACACCCTACGACTCATTTATCCCATATCAAGTATATTTATTTTACAACTAATTACAGTATATACAGCAATACTTCTGGATGGCCACCAACAACACAACAACATAGTCTTAAGCCTTGCTTTTTTTTTTCTCTTTCGATCGGTCAAGTTGCCTTTTATCCAACTTCTGAGATTTGTTGGCCGTCTAATATGGAGCTGGGTCAGTAGCTTTCCTTCAAGTCTGTCTTGGTTGGCCTTTCTCAACTTGTTCAGGATGACTCAAGCTAACTGACCCCCCTCCGGAAAACAAGTTCCGGTCAGTGGAAACCTGAATCATTTTTACCTCTACCAATATAACCTTTACTTACTACGGCATTTGAGAAATGTATGAAAGCAATGAAGAGTATAAGAGAAAGATTAATAGCTATAAGAATAATAGTAGTAATATTGATGATAGATGAGAAAAAGGAACTTATTGTAAAGCACAAAAGTGATGCATGCACAACAGATCTGAAAAACATGTTTAAGATACTACAATGGTGTGTGACCAATAAATGCAATTTTCATTTTATTATATAGTATTATTATCATCAGTTTATTAAAATGGGTATTGTTTAGGGTCTGAAAATGGATTAATTCCTTTTCCATTATTTCTAATGGGAAAATTAATTTGGAGTTTGAATGGCCTCTTGGAACAAATTAAATCTGAAGTGCAAGGCACCATTCTTGGTGTTTATATTCCACATTCAATTTAATGAATTTAAAATTATAGAAGAAAAAACTCACAGAAGAACCCTTGGCTCCTGACTGAATCATCAACTGAAGATTATTTTGTGGAAATTTCTTCCATAAACCGTCGGGAATACAGATTCTAAAAAAAAAAAATTATTATAATTAAAAATAACTTTACATATATACTTCATTTATTTATTTAATGTAAAGTGTTTTTTTAGTATGCTAAAGATAAATCTTCTAAAAAACATATTTAAAAATAAATCTGGAAATTACTTATTAATCTCATTATTAAATGTATCGGTTTCCGTCTTCATTGCGGCATCGATTTGCTTTCTCCCGAGATCATTTTTGCTAAGATGCGCATCCTGATATTTACTTATAATTTCTGATTTATTTGTATAGTCGGTGACGTCAAGAGCCTCCGCAATGGTCTTGTCGCCCACTTTTTTAGCCGATTTCATAATTTTCCATCTCTTCTTGTTTGCCTGTAAGAAAATTTTTTCCATTGCTTACTGTTGCAAACAATTTTTTAATGCAATTCATAAACATTATAACAAACATAATATTCCGTTAAATTTTGTAATTTATATATTCTCAGATTACTGTTAACAAATTATTGTTTAATATATCATAAAACACAGTTTTTGCATAATCAACATAAGACGAGAACAGAAAATACATAAAATTAATTTCTAACCTTCGAAGTCACGGTAATATCTTCTATCCCTAAAGTAAATCCAATATGAATTTGAAGGTAATGAGTGAATAATCTTGCTAAAGATGTTAGAAGTAATGTTGAAGTTTGACCACCGTATAACTAAAAGAAAAGAAAATTTATCTTATATGTGTACATCTACGAATTAAACTTAACATTCATTCCAAATCACATAATTTGGATATTTACTTCGTAACAACAGTGTACCAAACCGTATGGTGTTGGTCCGTAATGGGCTTTGTCTAATACGCCACAGAGTAATTCGCCAGATCGAATGATCACTGTACTTTCGGACATACTTTCTATTAACGGTATACTATATCTCTGATTTGTCTTGTTCTGCCAATTCTAAAAAAAAAAATTTTTAAGTTAGTTAACTGATTAAAAACTATGAAATCTCATTTATATTTCAGCATATAATAAAAGATACAATGCTTAATTATAATTTTAAATTACCAGTGTAATAATTTAACTATATTTCTTTTGTATAAACAAATACAGTAAGATACAAAACACCAGAAAGAACCTTGTAACACCAGTACAAAATTTACTATAACTTTTGAAAGTATTCTGACAAAAGTTTTCAATTGCAAGTATATCTTCTTTGGATCAATTAATGTTCTAAATTTGAAACGATATATTTGTCAGAATACTTTCAAAGTTATATTGTAAACTTTGTACTGCAGTTATGAAGGGTTTTTGTGGTGTTTTGTGTGTTAGTGTTACTCAGTTACGAAAAATCTTTAAGTTTTGAATACAGTAAGATAGTATTTGTTGTAAATTTGCATAATAGGATAATTTTTAAAAGCTCTGAAAGATTTCTGTGCTGCAATACATGCAAGATTTTAAATTTTTCATAATATTTGAGTTCTATCTCTTCTTCTTTTCATATAAATGGATATCAGAACATAGTCCATACGTGTAATTATTATTAACCAAGACTGGCAGTTAGCTAAGATTATAATATAAAACTAATTAAAGGAAATTGTTTTTATTGCTATTTGTGAAATAAACAGTAATACAATAATAGAAAAATTTTATGAATCAATTTAATTGACAGCAGCACTGTCAAGGCGGTAAAGGTGTCAGCATCCAACACCCTAGAAAACTTAAGATAAAATCTGAGCAAGAAACACCAGCAATTTTTGTGGGCAGTTTATCCTGGATAGGTCAGACCTTGTCCTTCACCACCCAGCTGCTCCCATTGTTTACCTGACTGAATCCATGATGAGTACGATTAAAAGACCCTCTTATTGTCCACAAGATAAAAAAGGCTAAAAAACAATTTAATCAACTCAAATGCAAATATTTTATGTAAAAGTATGGAAAAGAGAAGAGAATGTCTCTTTTCTATTATTCTCTTCCCAAAAGCATTCATACTTCAAAAGAATGGAAGAGAGTCATGCATGTGCTTTCAATACTTGTAGTTTAAAATAAAGCTTTGAAAGTATAGCAAAAATAAAACTCAAGTTGTAAAATTAAGTTTTATATGATTAATTCAAGAAGAGAGAATGAAAACTATTACAACCTTATAAAAGAAATTAAGAAAAATGATCCAGAATTTTCAATAATTCAGTGTTTTAAATGTGTGTTTATATAAAGACAACACCTATTCAGATATGTTTAAGTTAAAATATATAAATGATAAATTATGATTCATTAAAAATAATTCTGCTCTAATTCTTTCATTTCTTTCCCTCTTTCACAAAGTATGAACCAGTCTTTACCTATATAATTTTGTTAATAATGTTTCCAGTATATGCTTTAAGAAGCATAATTTTGTATTTGTTTATTATTTTAATTAAATATTTATGCTTCAATTTGAAATAAATGCATTAACTCTAAATGAAATATTAAATTTATTTTATACAATTGTATCAATTACATTATCAAATTAAAAAAGAAAAACATTAACTTGACACGTTAAGGATTAGTACCTTCAATTCTTAGGAAATCAATCCTGAGAACATTAATTCTATTTGTATATTTAGTCCTATTTATACAATGATATTTTTTTAAAAATTTAAGCAAGTCTCATTTAAATAAATATCAAATACAGTGGTACCTCGGTATACATCTGCTTTAGAATATGTCCAATTCGGAATACGTCCTGTTTGGACGAAACAAATTTTGCTCGGTATACGACTTTTGTTCGGTATACGACATAATTCAATTATACACGCCATCAATGAACAAGTAGCACTATCGGTGTACTAGACCAGACTAGACATTTGCAATGCAATGGTTTATAACTTTGTTAAATTTCTTCTGATTTTAATTCGTAAGTAAAATTTTATTATTTTTATTAATTACGAATCGCAAAAAGGCAAATGAAAAGCGACAGTAAACTAAAAAAATGACTAGAATTACAATGGAACTGATGAAAGAGATTGTTGAGAAATACGAAGGCGGCACGCGTGTTTGAGATTTTAACTGCTGCATACCATATTCCAAGAATGACGATATCAACAATCGTGAAAAATAAATACATTATTAAATCTGCTAACGTTGCGAAAGGGGTTAAACCAGTTTCTAAACAGAGATCGAAGACATTAGATCGAGAAATTGCTTTTGCTTTGGATAACTGAAAAGCAATGTGCTGGAGACAGCGTATCAGAAGCAATTATTTGCGAGAAAGCTAAAAAGGTACACGCTGATCTCACGAAAAATCAAGCAGAAACTAGCCAGGAAAGCGAGGTGTTTAAAGCCAGCCATTTTTTTACACGAGAACGGATTAATCATTTTTACATTACTTCTTATGGGAAAGGATGGTTTGGTATACGTCCAATTCGGTATAAGTCCAAACATCGGGAACGGATTAAGGTCGTATACAGAGGTTCCACTGTATATTTATTTTAAAATAGAGAGCAATAACATAAAAACTAAAAATTATATTTACTTTAGCTGCTATTTTTGCTGATCCTTCAATTGTAGGTGGTGGTTTTCCCAATGGAATAATATTAATGATAACTGTAGAGATTATCTAAAATTTTAAATTAAAAATATTAGTTCTGTAAGTTAAATAAATGATTATAAGAACTTTATTAATTCTATTTCAACATACCTGTTTGCCTGACCAAAGTGCTTTGGGTTTGATGATACAAGGTGGAAGAAGTTTTAGAGGACGTTGTATAAAAGTCAGCGCACCAAACACTAATTCTTGATAATCTTCTCTATAAAAATTTTAATAATTTTATATCATTTTGTTAAATAAACATCTTTTTAATATAAAGTGAGTAAAAATTAAATTAACAACTTGTAAAATTATTCTGGCTATTAATTTTAATAAATGATTTGGATATGACACAATTATATAACTAGGATGTTACATGACTTTGTCATATTCTAATAGAATTGAGGCAGAGCAGGAAAGAAAGAAGCAATTCTTGCACTTGTTAGGCACAGAAGAGGCAATCCTTCTGAATGAGGAAAGGCGAACTTTGCACTTGCTCCCAAAAAGAAACTATCCCTGTATCTATATACGTGGCTAGAGCATTTGGCACCAGGGACAAACTTAAATATGGCAACTTTTGGATAAATCTTTCATTAGTCTGTTACAAACTTAAAAATTATAAAATTACTTTTTATTATATTAATTCACTTTTGCATTAAAAGAAAATTTATTCCTGATAGACGAGACAATTGTAATTATATAATGCCTATGTTCAGCTACATGTAATGGATTATTGATAATTTTCAATGTTTAATTTCTAAATTTCTGGACATTCGATAGGATCAGATTATAAATTACACTAATCAACAAATTAACAAAAGAGACATTGTATAACAAATGCATTTGATTAGGGCTATCGGCTTTCAAATTCATGCGATGAGATGCTACACTGATCATAACATCACTATCTTTATGACCCCATGTCAGATTACGGAATAATTAACGTCTCCATTATGCAATTTTCTAACAGATCATACGCTACATTGATATTAAACTACAATTTTCAAGATAGAAAGTTAATGTAGTCATTATTAATTATATCTTATCATGTGAAGCCACTTAAAATTCCAAAGATCCTTTGATTGGAATCAAGTAAGAATTTTAATCGTTCTTATTTTATTGTGAAGAATTACTTATTATATTTATACGAGAATAGTTTAAATCAGCTGTTGAAATAATTTAAAAGTTTTTTGGTTCTTTCAACATGAAATTTTTATGTAAATCTGTTTCTCTTGTTTTATTATATTATATGATTTTTATGATAATTGGTTCGTATGAATTCTAACAAATTATATATTTATTTTCAGTGAAAATTGAAATTCCAAATTTTGAAGAAAGTTCGCAAGTTTTCGTAACTAGTTTGCCCTCTGGTATATTCACAGTTAACTTAAACACATCAGTGCCTTGTGATGAATCTAACAGTTCTCTTTTAACTAATATTATCGAAAAATATGTTATGTTTACCTGGAAATCTCCAGCAGAAAGAATAATCAACGACACTCTAGATTTTATGTAAGTAAATATTTAAAATAACTAAATATAATGTTGACAGATCATTTAAATTTTTTAATAGAATTTGTTCCTGAAGTAATTTTTAGTTTATAAATAATTCTCGTCTTTACCAAATTTAATTGAAATAATACTAATTAGTATTATTTATATTAAATTATAAGCATTATTAAATTAATTTTATATAATAAATTACACGTAATCTTATTATATACTAATTTATCTTTAGGCTATATAGGTTAGGAATAATTTCAAAAGATATAAATTTGAAATTAATATAATTATGTTTGAATAGCTTACTTATTACTTATATATAATATATACCGTAATATAATCTCAATTTTTTATATAAATATACTATTGCATACAAAGGTATATGTACCTAGTTGAAGATAAAACGATTGTAATAAAATGTTTTAACTTAGGGTTTTTTGAAACCTTATAAATATTTTTATATTTTAAATAACTATTAATCTATTTGTTGCACATGTAAAGATTCCGTTTCAATTGGCATGCATGCCACGTAATGTATACTTGGTATGACAGGGGATATGGAATTTGCAATCTATATTGGATGTCATCCAAATATCTGAAGGCATACTGTACGTAATGTTCTTTAACAAAACAATTCCTCAGAAAAAAGTTCAAAGGCATAGTGATAATGCAAGCTATCAATGTGTCATCATAGAATAATTTATAGCATTTTCTTTACACGCGGATTGCAATTTTATCTCAATCAACAACACAATATATGGGTTAGAGATATGCTCAATATACCTGGTACATTTATCAAATTGAAATTTTGTATATATATATCCCCCAGCAACAAANTTATTTAGTAGTTAATTATTACAATGAATTACATTCACGCCTACATTTAACTATGTAAAATATAATCACAGAAAAGTAGCTCAATGTAATCCAGTTGTTGTTTGGCTTTACAAATGTATCAGGTTTCGTGATGTTTGTTTGTTTATATGCAACAAAAATCGTTCAGAGCAATCATTTTAATCATCATCACAATGTCACATTATTCAAACAATATAATGGAAAAATGGACATAACATTTCTTGATAAATGTTTTGTATTTTGTTCAGTTGTCTAATTAGCTAATGTATCTCTGTTCAGAAAACGGGAACAGTAAAATGGCAAATGCTTCTGAGCAGAAAACATTTCCTGTGTTCCTACCTTATTATCATAAATGTTTGGTCTCTTTCATATGCTATTCAATACAAATATTCTGGAATTATTATTATAATTATTCTAGAATTCATTTTGTTCAGATGTAGTTTCTAAATCAACTACTGAATATTAATATATATGACAATAATTATATTACAGAACTATAAATTATGAGCATAATAAGCAACATATTTGTTTTTATACACTTCCTATTTACCTGGTAAAAAATGTACCCCTCATGCTAAGCAGAGAACCGGATACAACGTGATCCTGAATCAGACCACTCAGCGGAGTGCCATCTTTCGGTACCAAATATTGATAATTGACACTAGCAATATTATATGCTTCAGAACGGGCTAATTCACTCTGAGGAAAATGGACATTCATCTCATCGCCATCAAAATCAGCATTGTAACACTTGCAATTGGCATAATGGAGTCTCAGTGTCTTTTCACCTGGTAAAACTCGTACCTTAGAGTAAAATAAATAAATAAATATATATAGAAAATAATTCATTACTTTTGCATTAACAATTTGATTAAAAATTATTGTTATAATTTGAGTAATGTTAAAGAAATATTCAAGTCATAACATCATGATAACTATTAAAGGTATGCTAATGTAAAACAAATGTATGTCTAGAAAGATATTCAATTGTTATAAAGTTCAGCTTGGTTATTTATATATACATATATATTAATGAGCAATTTTATCAGTTATGGTACATACCCTGTGACCCATAATACTAGGTTTGTGCAAAGTTGGCTGTCGATTCAATAATAGGATATCACCACTCTGAAGATGACGATAGACGATTTTATTTCCCTGTGATTTTTTGTTGAAATGTGATGGCGTCAATAACTTCTTTGCAATTGCTTCTCTTTGTATGTGATTTGTGGGACTCAACTTGACAACAGAACCATCTTCTTTCTTTACTAATACAGCTCTTTAAAAAAATAAAATTATTTATTCTAATTACTGTACATTATTTAAATGTAAAAAAAAGGACTAACTATTCATAAGAAACTTAAAGTACATTTTTTTTCCTATCTTAACACTTTACCATAACATTACCATTTATATAATACATTACCAATTTTGCTTTTATAAAATGGTAATATTGTTTGTTAAAGTAAAATATTTAAGTTTTTCAAACAATATACAGTCTTGTGAGTCTGTACTGTGTTAGATGATTTTACATAGTATTTATCTCTGTTTGGTATCACAATATAATCCTTATTTACATACAGTATGTCCAAAAAGTTACAGTGCAGTGGAAAAGGTTTATGTAAGGTTTTAATGAAAGTGAAGTTTTATGTATGATGCTGCAGTTTCTCCTGGTGTTTACCAGAAATGTTCCCAAGTCCCAAAATCCAGGAAGTGAGATCCAGAGACTGTGTGAGCTGGATTTCACAGAAGATTATGCAATCGGCAAAATCTTCAAAAATAGTCCAAAACTGGAACATTTGTGAGCAAGCAGTAATGCCATCTACCACAAAATGGAAATACATGACATGGGTTTTGTATGCAATGTCATACTTATAGCTTTAATGTCATTGCAAATTTGACTGCAGACTTGCTATATACAAAAATTTTTCATTTTTGTGTTGAATTTATCTATTTATTATCAAGTATGTCACTATATTATACTACAAATTCTATAGAATATAAGCAGAAGGATATTTAAATAAATACTTATTTAATATTTAAATTTACTATTAAAAACAAAAATACACAAATAACTATTTCAGGAACATTTCTTTTTGAACAAACATATAAAACAATCTCTAATCAACAACCGTGACCACTAAAAATCCTATTTCTAACTTCTAAACAACAGCCATTGCTCTCAAAATGATGTACAGAAAATAAGAATGAACTGTACAAAATTAATTGTAATTGGTAAGTTGGGTAGTTTGGCCACTAGACTAATAAATAAATATTTCTTAAATAAAATCAAGGACTGACTATGTTTAATATTGTACAGTACATCAATGTAGATCAGTGGTTCTCAACCTTCCTAATGCCGCAACCCTTTAATACAGTTCCTCATGTTGTGGTGACCCCCAACCATAAAATTATTTTCGTTGCTACTTCATAACTAATTTTGCTACTGTTATGAATCATGATGTAAATATCTGATAAAGCATAGTGATTAATCACAAAAACAATATGTAATTATATATTGTGAAATATTTATTTCTAATTACAAATAAATGAAATTTTGTCTCGAAGCATGGTGTAGCATGGGTAACAGTCTTAACCTATCCCACGTTGAAATTTTTCCCTGTTGCATGTGGCTGCCATATTGAATTTTTGTTGATGTTAAGACTAACAAAAACAATTTTTTTTAAATAATAATCATGGCTAGTGTATCATTAAAAATTATTTTTTTATTTTGCACAAACAAAATAAATATATTAAAAAATATGAAAACAAAAAAAATGATATTTCAAAAGTTCATTTTAATATACAAATTATGATGCATAGCGATATGTAGTATAAAAAATGTACCGATACTGTAATGAGATGTATTGGGTTTAACCCAGCGGGTCAAAGGTCATGACCCCGATATATATCGGGAATAACACAGGTGAGGTTAATATAACAACAGTAAACTACATTGCTACATTTTGCAACAGTATGCATAAAAAGCCAATGTCAGTGTGAAAATTGAGATTGCTTCTTTCTTACCAGATCAGAAATTCTTGGGGTAGTCTTTGCAAGAGCACAATAAAGGTCATCATCCACAACAAGTCTACTTCTGTATTTAGACTTGATAAACAACAAGCTGGAAAAAATGTTTCACAAAAATATGTTGTTTGAAATGGAAGAAGAAGGTGCAACACTGTCTCAGACAGAACAGGATATGACTGCAAACACTTGATCCAGAATTTTGTAATTGACATTGTAGAGAAATCAGTTCTTGCTGCTGCACATAGTTCAATGAACTCCTCTTGTGCTGTCTCAGAAACACCTTCAACTTTGACTGTGAATAGGCTTCTTGCAAGTGAAAATGGGGTGTCAGGTAGATTTGAAAAGTACCATGAAATTTCGTCTGCAAGCATATGCAAGCATTCTTTCACAGAAATTATCATCATAATCCTTTTGTCTGGTTCAATGTCATGCTCTTCAAAAAAAGCAGATAAGGTAGATAACATGTAATTTTATTTTCATCCAATTTTTTTTTGCCAAGCTGAAGTTTCATTTGAAATGATTTGATCTTTTCAGACAAATCAAGGCATGTTGCATTTGGTCTTTGCAGTGATAAATTTAACTCATTCAAGATGGCAAAGATGTCAATGATGTCAACCAAGTAAGATATTTTCTGCAGTTCACTTTTATCGCTGAAAAGTGCTTCGAACTGCTGTCTTGCTTTCTGACTAAAAATCATTTTGAGTTCATCATGAAGCATAAAAACATGTTTTAAAATTTTTCCTCCATCTCACTTCAGTGTGAAATAGCAGAGCATTGTTTGGCGCATTTAACTCATTGCACAGTTGCGAAAACAGTTAATTGTTTAAATTAAAGTAATCACCTTTACAAAATTGACAGAACTACAAGAAGTTACAAGAAGTAATGAAAAATGCCATAAGCACTTTTCATTACTTCTTGTAACTCTTGTAGCAGCATCTATGTTGCTAATATTTGCTGATGAATCATACAGTAAGTCCTGATGACTTTTGGTGACTCATCCAGTACCAGACGTTGAAATCCAGATCAATATCCTAGATTAGCTGAGCACCATCTGTGCAAACACCACAAACCTTTTCCCAAAAGATCTTATGCTCTTTCAGAAATGAACAAAATGTGTCAAATACATCATGTGCAGTAGTTGTCATTTCAAGAGGTTTGCAAAAAAGAAACTCATCTTTAAAGTCACCATCATTAATTTGCAAATCTGTAGATACATCTAGCTGGATACTAAATATTGGAAGTGGAGCAGGTTTAATTTTCTGGATTACCTGATCAAGAATATCAGCAGATGTCACCTAATCTTCTGCAGACAATGTCATCAGATAAAGAAATTGTGTCATCTCCAATCATAACTCGAACAATGTGTTTGGCCACTGGCAACAGTAAATCCTCAGCAATGGTGCGTGGTTTCATAGCTCTAACGATTCTGAGTGCCATGAAATATGAAGCTTCAACAGTTGATACATTTTGTTTGTGGTACTTGCCACCAGTGTCAAATCTGGCTTTCTTTCAGTCCATCAGCTTTGTTTCTAAAATAGTTGGTATCCTTGCCAGCAAAGCTTGGATGCTTGCTATCAAAATGGCATTTTAGTTTGTTTGGCTTTGTAGATTTGGCTGATAGAACTTCATAACAAATAATACATTGTGATTTCTCAATTCCTGCTGTAATTATTGAGGTAAAACCATACTGTAAAAATTCCTCAATATATTTTCTTTTCTTAACATTCTTCTTTACACGATCCATTGTCATGAAATGGTTTGCTAATGAAAATAATATATAGCAATAGCTTTAATATTACAAAAGATGATACATGGCATAGTTTAGTCAATACAGTTCATTAAAGTTTCCTATAATTTACCATTCTCTGTGTTGTTCTTTTTTATACACCTGTTACTATATCAAGGGGGCAGTATTCACATCAGCCACAACTGTATATAAAAAGACTGATCAGCATCCAGATTAAGTTCCCATGGTACTGATATTTTTTTGAAGTAGTTAATGATTTTACATTTACCCAGGGCCTAATTTGGCACAAGGCAGGCAAGGCACTTGCCAGGAGCCTGCAATAGGTTCTAAATGTGCCATTGTTTTATTATTATTGCAAATTACTATATTATTAGTGCTCCATATTCAAGGGTTAATAATTAAGAATGACATTACCTTCTGCCCTGACATCCAACATCATCACTGAGAATTAGATAAAGTTTGTATATGCGCATTAGATCTGTTCAGTGAAGTTCAGAATAAAGCAGTGTTCATTGAGAAAAATGTAATGTTTATTGCTGAATAATTTTATTGTAGCCCCACAAATACAATGTAAGTAAGATATTCAAATATAAAAATAAAAATACACATTACAACTAAATTAACATTTTTGTAGAATGAATTATATTGTTATGTAGTTTATCGTAATTGGGAAATGTGATCAGATGGCACTAGTAAAACCTTGGCATCATTCCGTGAGTAATTTTTGTGTCAGGGCCCTGAGTTTGACTAGGTGGATTGGATATATTATAACGTATTTTTGCAGTTATAGTTTTTCTTTCTTTGAAGTACATGTTTTGTATTTTTCTGTTTAACAATAAGTAAATAATTTTAATATTTATCTTTATATCTGTGTGTCCTGTGAAAACTGGTATAATTCAACTTATATCACTTTTATGTTTATTGTTGCACTTTAGTCAGTTTTCAAAGGGCTATATTTCTGTGTTTATAACTTTTTGATATCACTAATAGTTTCTGAGATATTATGATACAAGTTGACCATAAAAACTGAGTAATTACAAGCATACAAGTGGTCATCAAAAAAGATTAAAAAAGAAAGTAAAAGATGAAGAAAACAAAAAGCAAAATAACACTTTAATGCCATTTTTATTTAAAAAAAACACAAAATCAAGAAACAGACATTAAAATTGAGGAACAAAAATCTTCAACAACAAAATGAGGATGATGCCTTGAAGAACATGAAAATCTTTTGAAAACCCAAGAAAATAACAATCACAGCAAACAATTATTATGTGAAACTTATGAATTGTTTCCAAACAATATTGGTGAATGCCCAGAAGTTTT